CTATTCTATTCTATTCTATTCTATTCTATTCTATTCTATTCTATTCTTTTTAATTTAATCTTCCAAGTGCTATTTCTGTGTATTCTAGTCTATGATGAATATTATCAACTATACCTGGAGATGTTTAGAAATACAGAACCAAGCTTTCTGAGCTTTGTTCTGTTTTGGTTTACAGAACCTTATTTTGAAAGAACTACTGATTCTTCAAAAGGCCTTAGCTCTAATGTGAGAATGCACCACAGCAGCATCCATAATGCACAATGGAACTAAATTTATTCCAGCTTCATCTGGCATTACATCTTACATAATAATATGACATATGTCATGAAACTGGCAGAACTTTAACTTTCCCTCCTATCTGAAAGATTAAATAATTAAATAACAGCAAAGTACTGTCTTAAAAAAAGGCAGAGCTGCTTTGAAACACAGAAGTCTAACATTTGAAAAGAGCTTCTGTGTGAATGCATTACTATTTCTTTTTGTAATATAAACTCTTCCTTAGTTTAACCAACGTTATACTAAGGAAGAACTTACTTGGCAAACAAAAACTACCCAAGCCAAACCAAACCAAAACCCAAAGGACTTTAATATATGCTGCTATGCCTCTGAACATCTAATTAATATGAAAACATAATCTCATAAGGATAATAGATTTGAATTGAGAAAGGTTAAAGTTTCAGATTGTCCATAGCAATCCAGTCATAGATTACAGAAAGTAGAATTAACACTGAAGAGAAAACAAATCATTGAATCATTGGTGCTCTCTGAACTTGGCTGTTTGCTTGTAGCTATTTTGTTACCCAGATATCAACAGTGCTGATGAGTGTGGGGCTCCTGCACACTATACAGTACCTTATCTTACCAATGTTGGTTGGGGTTTGATTTTCTTCTTGGCAGTTCCTTGATTAGGGTCTTATTTTATTTCTGATTGTTTGCCTAGTGTTAATCCCTTCTTATGTGGATTTTGTCTGCTAGGAGGGATGTGTTATAGTCTTTTTGTTTCCTTTTTAGTCTTTTGTTATCTCTTTTGAATGGTTTGTAAATATGTTATATTTCTATGTATCTCTTGATGGTTAATTTGCCTGAATACCAAGATTCTAGAAATTCCCTAGCATTTTTGGATTAGTTTTCTCTAGCATTTTTGGATTTGGAGTTTGCCAGTTGAAAGTGTGTCTGTGTCTGTTCAAATTGGAATGCATCCCCTCCAGCAGCCAATGCCCAGAATAAGTAAAGAAAATAACAGAATCTTTATCTGTAGGCATTCATTATGGGAGACATGCATTGTGACATTGTGTTACAATATTGCAAAGCAAGTATGCAAAATAGCACTTAAATCATGGCACCATAATGCGCATTTCATTATTTTGGCATCATTCATCATGTTTAAGAACAGTTGAATAAATTCTCATTTCTGAAATATACCTCTTAGGCAATATGTCCAACATCAGAACAGAGCTTTGTAGAAACACCCATGGTTAATTTATTATAAGGCTAAATCAGTGAAAAGTTTTTCCATGGCAAGAATAAGTAGAAGAAACAAAATTTAGGCTGCTTTATGTATTTTAATGTAAACTGATGAATATTTAAAAAAAGAAAAGGTAGTATCTATGAAAATAACAGTTTGTGCATTCATTATATAAATTCTACTGTGCCAAATGTTTTTCTTCATGCTAAGTTAATCTTTAATAATGCAGTTTTATGAGGCCCATGATTTAAAAATCATTTTACCTAAGATGCAATTTATTAAAATATCAACCTGATCAGCCAAGAATGACACACCAGTTGCTGTAAATTCTAATACACATTTTAAGGAATTTAACTATTGTTCTTGGGCATAAATTGTCCTTGTGGAAGTTATAATGACTTAATTTTATTATGGAAATTTAAAGAAATATTAAATTACTAGAAATACTGGACGGACATTTTTTTCTAGTCATATATAATGTTGGGTTGAAATATTTATCTTGGTTTAGTTAAAGGTTTAATGCAGGTTGCCAGTCAAAGAGCTGTGAGACAACAAAATTTAAAGTGAACTGCTATGTTAAAGAATTGCCACTAAGCCTACATCACTTATTTTCTTGATAAAGGAGAAATACCAATCACCAAGAAGCCTTCACTTATTTTCTCATGGAGTTATATTTTAACTGATCTCTAGTTTTGCTTTCTGCCAAATGCATTGATTTCTGTTCTCTCCTCATTGCAATCCCCACAGGAGGGATTTAATTTTCTTCATCTTTCTTACTTTGCTCTCTAACCTTACAGTCATCAATAAAAGTTTAAACTAAAGAGCAACACTGTATTTTCTAGGCTCCATTAATTTCATTTGGTTTTATGCACATGGAACATTGTGTTGGATTGCAGTCATTCTAGTTGCACATTGTTTATTGTCTCTCATGCCACAGTGTTTACAATTTATATAAACTTTTCTGACCAAGACAAACTATGTGGCCTACTTTTTGCTTTTATATTAGAGAAAATGTCTTAATTTCATGGATTTGCAAAAATAGTATTTCAAAATAGCAAGGCTATCCTGGGAATAAGAGCCATTGAATTAAGTTAGAGTAATTTCTAAACAGATTACAATAGTAAATTACCTGTTGTCCATCTGTTCCTGGAATACCAGGTGCACCAAATGAACCCTGAAGAGAATTATATATTTGAATTTAGCAAAATTATCAAACAGATCATGCAATTTTTCACTGTAAACATTTATCTTTTATAAATTATGGAACTTGATTCATACATTCAGCTTTCAGTGGCATTATTCTTTACATTAAATATAAAGATTTATTCTTTTTATGTTATTGTTGTGTATTCTGTTTCAGAATTATGAAGCAAACTTTGTGTGCTAAAAATGAATTCAATGTTTAAAAGTTGCTCATAGTTTTAGAATATATTCCATATTTTATTTTTAAAGAATTACCTAAATGCTCCTAATTTTGAATATGGTAATCATCAGTGGTGGGATTGAACCATTAGCTCCAAGGGTGGGATTCTACAGGTTCACACCTATTTGCTAGAACCAGCTGTTAACATTCTAAGCAGTTTGGAGAACTGGTTGTTAGAAGAAATTACTGGCCTAATCCTGTACGGAAGGCAGGAAGGAAAAATTCTGGTGTTGCTTACAGAAACTGCCTCTCCGTTGAACCTTATTACATTCTTGGCAGGACTAGACTTCCTACCTCTGGAACTTCTCTGGAGTTTCTTTCCCCTCTTTTGCTGGTACTTTGCTTATGTGGAGTGACCATTCAAAGTTACAAAATGGCACTGAAAAAAGTGACTTATGACCATTTTTCACTTATCACTGTTGCAGCATCCCCAGTTATGAGAAGCCAGGTGAGGAGATGCGTGCCTCGATGTGAGTGATATTGAGTTGGCCATGCCCAGCCAGTCACATGACCACCAAACCATGCTCACCAACTAAGACACGCCCACAGAACTGGTTGTTAAAAAAATTGAATCCCACCCCTGGTTAGCTCCGAAGATCAGCTGAGAGGGAACCAGTTCATTCCGATGATCTTCTGTTCTTCTGTTTGGCCCACCCGCCAGCCTGGTCTCTAGGCTGTTCTTTATGTCCTGCTTTTTCAACCTCAGCTGCTTGGCGTGGCACAGCTGATTGCTGTGCGTGCTCTGTTACACACAGGGCTTGCAGGAAAAGATGATTTTCAAATGCTGCGCGTGCTCACCGAACTGGCTATTACACTGGATGAATCCCACCCCTGGTTATCATCCATGTGTTATCAATATACTCCTTTCCTTTTTTATAAAATACTGAACTGAAACATATATGCCCATTTTAAACAGTAATATGAAAGAAAATAAACTACGTTTATTTGATCCATCCAGTGTGCTGCTACTTGTTGAAAGGTTTTGAGAACTAATCTTAAACAAAACAAAAACAAATCACCTATGAATGAAAATCACCTGTGAAAATTGTTTGCTTAATTGCCACAGCATTTACTTAATGCCCACAGAGTTTATTTAAAAAGACCATTCCATATTGAAAAATTGGGTCAAATCACCTCAATTTACAATCACAATGACTTATGACCATAATTCCAGGCTTAATTACAATTGTCAATTGAACAGCTATAGAGCTTGCACTTCAAAAGTGGGCACATTACTGCATAATTGTTAATAATTTTATATGATTACAATTAGTATGTTAAAATTATTTAATATTTTATTATAAATAGAATCTAATACAAACTAAACTTAAAGAAAAGAGAATAAAAAGAAACAAACCACACTGATTACATTATGCTATTGTGATAGTAGCTGATGACTTTATTTTGTATTTTTTAAAAAGAAAATACCACTTTCCAGTTATAAACAGAAGTTTTGCCCAATTTACAAGTAACAATTATTTTAGTTTCCTTTAATTCCTTCTTGAACCCCTACAGTTTATGAAATGTTAATATAACATTTTATTTTAAAGAAACAGTGGTCCAAACAATTTGTCTTGAGTTGAGGATGGAGAGAGAGGAGGCAGCTGCCTCAGAAAATTCATTTGAAATGTTTTTTATTCCTGCCGTATTTGGTACTGGTACAATGCTACAGTCCATAAATTGTGAATTCACTCTTTCACTGTCAATCCTGATGAATGTAAATAATATTGAAAACATTCACAGGAAGTCAGTTCTCTGGTTACTATAGAAATCAAATTATACTGGCCAGCAATCAAAAATCCATATTTCAACAACACCTAGAATCTTTTTTTCTTACATCATATGGCAGCAATCTATTCAAAGGCCAAACGAAATTCAAGATGCATTTTCCACTATGTTTAGAGTTTGGTTTCATTATTTTACCAGTTCAAGCCAGAACATTATAACTCTTTAACTGGTAAATTTTAGCTAACAGGGTGAAAGGAAACATTGCCCTCATCTCTACAACTAAGCTGTGTTGGTGAGGAGTTGAGATTTTTCTTCTCCCTTTAGTGGTGTATTTTGAGAAAATAGAGCTCACAAACTAAATAGCTGCTATAGAATGCCAGTAGATCAGTGATCCCCAACCTTTTTGACGCTGCGGCCCGGTACCGGCATCAGCTGGGCGCCGCCATCTTTTTTTGACGAAAAAGTGCTTCCGGTGAGCTTTCTACCCGGAAAAGCTCACCGGAAGCACTTTTTTACCAAAAAAGATGGCGGCGCCCAGCAACCAGCGGCCCGGTAAGACTTGTTCCGCGGACCAGTACCGGTCCGCGGACCGGCGGTTGGGGACCCCTGCAGTAGATTGTACCTTGGCACTAGGCAGAAAAAAAACAACCTTTCTTATCACTGTACTATACCTTTTGTCCTGGAGGCCCCTGAGGTCCCTAAAAGGGAGAACAATGGAATTAACATAATAATATAGACAGTTTAAGGTTAAATAACTAATTAAAAGCATGCTCCATTGTGCAACTACCTATCTTGAATCAAAGTAATTGATGTTTTGTACGTTAGGGAAAACCTAAGTATTCTGTAAAAATACAACAGGTATTTTTCTCTTTCTGTATATTAATTATGACCTGCTAGATTCCTTACTTCCTTCCAGAACCCCACTGCACATGCAGCCCAACACCTCATTGTTGGATATCTGGCGCGCATGTGCGGAGTTCAGGGGTGTGCGGGGGGAGTTTCACATGCATACGTAGGGACATGGGTGCATGCATTGCCTTCTGGGTGCTGGCACATGAGCGTGTGTGTGTGAACGCAATTTTTGGCACAGAAGCCCAAAAAGGTTAGCCACCACTGTTCTACGTTACACTCATTCTCTGTGCTACTGTATAGAGAATCACTGTTCAACAAAAATCAATGTATAAACTTGATTGGCGCAGATATTTCAACCATAAATGTGAGTAATTAAAGTAAGGGGGGGAATTTTATCTCTTGTTAATCAAATTATAATGAAGTTTACAGAGGTGAAGAAAATGGAACTTTTATCAATTAAACACAGAATTATGTCACCATTTACCTTAATATTGTATGTAGAATTGAAGGCTTTATAGAGGGGAAATTTGCAGTGTTAACCATTCCTATCAACTATTCCAATTCTCTATCTGTGAAAAACTGCAAATCAGGATTGTCTCTTAAAATGGGATTTATTTAGGCTGTTGTGATTGCTTTTCTAGCTAAGGAGTCAGATAAAAAATGTGTTAATTAAATATAAAAATAAATCATGCATTGTGATGTATGAGTTTGGAATATAGTAGGCTCTCAAAAAATAACCTTTTCTCTTATTACAATATTATAACATAATATTGACATATTTTTCTTTCTTTCTGTTCCCAGAGGAAAATGAATCATATACACTGAAAAAAGTCTTTCTTCAGAAAAAAGGCTGCCTGCAGCAGTTGTGACTGGATATGCCAACTGTAATTAAAACCACCCTCAGAATGCATTTCACCATTTATTCATACTGACATATGTTCCTTGCCCTGTGAACTTGAAGCTCACTGAGTTGAGTCAAGCACCAGCTATATTCTGGAAACTCTCTAGAATGGCCACAGAAGAGGTTTGGCACTTCAGGTCATGAAGACTTTGCTTTTTATTTACTTATGATCTATTTATAACTTTCTCTCCTTCCTATTTTTCCATACACTCTTAGAGAGAACAAAGGAATGCAAGTTATTAATATACGTACAAACTGACTTAACTGACTACCTGAATAGCAGAGGGTACAATGCTGGTTTCAGGAAGCATGCTACATGGATATCTTGCAGCTTTTGTGGAAGGAACATTTTTAAAAAATGTTTAAAATGTTTCAGAATGTATGTTAGCATTTTACATAGTTTGTTCTTGCATTTTTGTCTTGCTATTGGTTTGGGGGGAAGGTTTTTGGCAATATTTTATAATAGTTCTAACAATTTAACATGCTGTTAAGAAATGGTAGCCAAAGTTACACGAACAGTTGTACTCTGTTTTATAAGTAAGTGCTCTGGGCCTCCTGAAGGTATCAAATTCAGCACTGTGAGAAGTGAGATCTTAAACTTGTTCGATAACACAATCAAACAAAACTCTTTGTTATCAAATTTCAAATGCCTGTTATTTAAATATCCCTTTATAAACATATCTGAAAATTTTGCTTTTATGTTGGGAATCAGCAGTTTTTCTCCATTTTTATCAAGTAGCAGAAGAGATACCTCTTTCATAGAAAAAGGTTAAAAACAATAAAAGGGAAGCAGTTCTTTCATGCCTTCTGCAATTTAACATTAAGCCTTCCACAATTTAACATCCTCTTGATATGTGTAAGAGATGAGTAGGCTGAGCCCAAGGGTGGGATCAAATGTGTTATCAGTTTGGAATAGCTACACTCCCACAAGAAATCCAAGTCCAAGCTCCCCCCTCCCCCCATGGGAATTGCGTTGCTCTTATTTAGAGACAATTTAACTTGATCATTAGTAGATCAGATTCTTGTATACAGGTTGCATATAATAAACTTTTAGTGCTTTGAACTCAATTCCTATGCCTGATTCTTGTGCCTAACAATATGTTAGGCAACAACTCTAAGATCCCAGGCAGCATATGAATTCTGGGAATTGTATTCTAAGATTTCTAAAGGACCATGATTATGTTTTTAGTCATGAATAAAAATCTGATAACATATGGAGTTTGTGCAGAATTCAAAACTATAAATCTGATATATTTAATAAACACATTTGGATTCATGTTTTGATCCAAAGTGTTAATAAATTATTAGTTCTGCTAAATAAAAGTAATATTTTTTCAAAAATGAGGAAGAATCTATAACCTCATTATTCTTCACTACATAGTTTCACATTTCATGTATAACAGAAAGGTTACTCAGAGACTGAGAATGAGATATGGGGGTACCTAAATCTAATAGAAGATAGATAATAAATAAATAAATGTTGTCTTAACCCTATTAATTCAGCAGCAACAAGGAGCTCTACCATTTTTAAAATTAATTTGCAAAACTGAAGTTTCCTGAGCATTTTACATTTTTCCTTGAGGCAAGAAATTGCTGGTTTCAATTATAGCACTTTTGTTCTACAGAAAGGTCTGTCTCTAGAAAGTATCCTACTTCAGGTGGCCTTTTGAAAGGTAGTAAAGCCTGAATGTTTTCAAAGATTTCTGGCCTATCATTGTTCAGTACTGTATTTTAGATCAAGGGTCGCCAACCTTTTGGACCTCAGGGACCACCAAACACATAATTTTAAATCCCACAGACCACTAATATGAATTTTGACTGGCTTGCTGATGTTGGTGGGAAAGTCAGTCCCATATTCCAGACCTGCAGTAGTCACAGGACCGGCCCTTTGGTCATCCCGGAGCAGCTGCTCTTTTACCTGGGCGCACCAGCTTGTCATGGACTGGAGGAGCTGCTCCAGGATGACCAAAGGGCCAGTTTTGTGACTACTGCAGCTCTGGAATATGGGACTGACTTTCCCACCAATGCCAGCAAGCCACCCTGGGGGAGATTTCCCTCCCCCACTGTTGGTCTTACCTTTCAGTTTCAGCTCACAAGGCTCTATTCAAGGTAAGGTTTGCACTTGGCTGAAGGGTGGGGTCCAGTGGGTGGGCGGGACATGTGGGTGGCACAGCCTTGTGTTCCTGTGCAGCCTGGATTAATTGCTTTGGGGGGGACATTTCTCTGTGGACCACCAACATTTTCTCGCGGACTACCGGTGGTCCCCAGTCCACTGGTTGGCGACCACTGTTTTAGATTATACTCTCCAGTACTTCAATTTTGATTTGCTATGAATTTGTATTGTATCATTAGATTAATGAGGACGGATATATGTTATTATTATTACTGTTATTAATGGTTGTCATTTCATGTTGTTGTATGCTATTGTGAAACTACATGATTTGAAAGCAAATATACTTAATGAACAATGATCATAGTAATAAGAATATACCTTATACCAAACAGAAAAATGAAAATATAAACTTACTTACCACCAAACCTTGTTCACCCGGTTTTCCAGGTTCTCCCTTAAACACAAAATAATGATAAATACAATTAAAAAGAAGATGAATAGACAAAAATAATACTCAGCATAAGTCCATTAACTGTGAGGGCCATGTGGTGTTCATGGATCTTACAAGGCAGAAGGGGGAGGTTACTGCACTCATGCCTTCTTTGTATATGTCCTAAACATATACACAAAAATATTATAGAATATTGGACTAAATGAATAATCTAATCCAGGATGTACTGGACATCAACTTCATCTTCATTATATAGGAAAAATTATAATTCATATGACTTTTGGTATATTAGTTATAATATCTTACTTGAATTTCCTAGAAATTTCCTAGAAATTCAAGTGCACTTAGAAATGACACAAATCCCTAATGTTGCAGATTTTATTGAAAAGGGCACCAACTAACCTAGGCCGGGGCCTGGGAGAACAATCAAGTCTTTATGGCTCTTTGGAATGGCACACTTCCAGGGTACTGATAGATGAGATTGTTTAATCAAATTTTTATACTGTTTAATTGGATTTTGCTGTGTTCTAATTGCATCCACATTTTTAATGAGGTGTTAAATAATAAAGTAAAATCATCCTGATTGTCTGACTTCTGTTTTGCTAAACAGCCAGTTTTTCATTCAAATGGGACATTCTAGAGTACATCCTCTAGTTTAGGGGTCTCCAACCTTGGCAACTTTAAGCTGGTGAGGCTTTGAGATGGGAGCAGCAGGCAAGTAGGCTCTCTGCTTAACTAAGATTAACCTATTCTAATTATTACCTGCTTTTAAGGCTATTTTTCTATCATATCTTAGTCTTCAAATTTTTATTTTTATTTTTAAACCCTTTACATTTTTGAAATTTTTGCAGTGTGATCACTAATCCACTTTTAGCTATATTTCAGCTATTGTTTAGCTGTATTTTTTAAAAAGCCCGAGCTGGGCCTCAGCTATAGGAGGGCCTTGCTGCTGCTTCTTTGTTGTTGTTGTTCTAAAGATCTTACTCCTTGAGCTGGAAGTCTAGCAATGCCTAGCTTTGATGTGATTTCTCTTATCTGATTTATTCTATTTTTATCCACTATTTTTATTATTTTATCATTTTTATTTACTCATATTCCCTGCTCTGTCGGGAGGGCAGAATCCTGGGTATACTTGTGTGGAGCTCTGCCATTGTTTGCATTAGGACTCGTTTCTTCTCACCTTCAGATTCCTTTTCCTCTGGATTTAGGACTTGTTTCAGTGACTAGACTCTATGCTATATTACACAGCTCCCTCTCTATTGTGCTACTTAATATAATGAAGACAAGGAAAAGGAGCAGATCTTTCACTGACCTGGTTCCTCAACCTTCTCTGAAGAAATCCAAGATTGAGGACTTTGTTTTAGCTCGGCCTCTCGGTTTGAAAGCTCCTGCTCCCTTTTGTCTGGCTGCTGCCAGTTGTCATGATCTTCTGATGGTTGAGGGCGTCACCCCCGAGTTGAGAACAAAGGCTTATCTAAAACTACGGCCCCCAACTAATCCTTAAATGAGCCCACCCTTACAGAACTTTTGGCTCAGCAATGTTTCTTGGTTGCAGAAACTACAGCGAGCATTCAGCTCCAGCTGGATAAAATAATAAGTACTTTAAACTACTTAGTTTCCTGGACTACCAGTGGGAGCCCTGGGTTGACCGCTCAGCAGCCTGATGTGGCGGCAGGGTTCTCCCTGCCAAGCCTCAGCAAAAGCACTGGCCAATGTAATCCTACCAATACTTTGAACTTTACATCTTTTGACGCAAACAGTTACCTGGTCTTACAGTCAAAACAGGTGGCCCTCATCATTAATCCCATTAATGGCAACTTACCTCACTGGGGTTCAACACAGCTGGCGAGGGGCCATATATTACAGTTATTGGGGCTAAAAGCTGATGATTTGAAGAAGGTTGAACTTTTGCCCTCTCCTGAATACTGCACTAGAGTGCTACTCAGTTTTGACAACTCCAACACCCCAAAACTATTTTTCAGAAGAGGATCCCTGTTAAGATCCTTTGGCATTTTGCCAAGAAGAGTCTTTAAAGTTTTGTCAATTAAGCCACTCTTGAGTAATCGACAATTTGTGAGTGGCAGGAGATTTATTGCACCCAAAAGATCCTCAGCAGCACATATTAATGTGCCAACCTTGAATGTCATCCTGGATACTACATCACGTACTAATTATACACCTATTCCTGCAAAATCTCCAGTTGACGTCCTTTCAGGTGGTAGCCTGACTATTCCTCCTACAACTGGTCAAATTAACCCCCCGTAGCGAGTAACAACTTACCAGGAAGCTTCCCTTGATTTGATCAGCTGGGAAGAAATGGCCCCAAAGGAAGTGACACCAGCCCAGGGCACCCAAGGTTCCTTAGTAAATAAGTCCCAGGTCAGTGCCTCTGGGATTCCATCTATCTATGAGACTGACTTATGTCAAGACAATTTCTGGAACCAGGAGGAGACACAGCTCTTCGACTCCTTTTATACGCTTCCACAATCAGAAAAGGCCCAAATCATAAAGCGTCTGGATGCAGTCAAATCCAAGCTCTGGAGTCTTTCACTACCTGATAAGGATTTCCTTGGACTCCAGGGAGTCTATACTGATTTACCAATGGAAGTTCCCTTGGTGCTCTCTCCAGAATGTCTAATTCATAAATTTGAAGATCCAGGGCTACTTCAAATTTCGTCTGTTGATGCTGCTGAATACTTGCCAGCTAAGCAACCAATTAATGTCACAAATACGAACTGGAGTGCGCTTAGAGCCCTACAGCCCCATGAACAAGGCTCGCCTCCCCTCCCTCCTTCCCTGCCTTTGCCTCCTAAGAGGATGACCCTGCCACTTAACAATGGGTGTATCTTTTCGGATCCGAAGGGCACTCTGGGAAAAATTAATCACACAGAATGACTATTAAATCTGGCAAATCCCCCCCCCTGCACACTTAAGTACCTTTCGTGGAACATAGCAGGCTGGGGGAGAAGGTGTGGTACCACAGAATTCGCCAACTATATTCACTCATTTGATGTAGTCCTGCTTCAGGAGACCTGGGCATGCGATAAGATATCCCTTACAGGGTTTACAGTCATTTCCTTGGCTGCCACCAGACAATCTACAACAGGAAGGCCTAAGGGTGGTCTAGCTTGCTTGGTCTCTACTTCTTTGAAAGTGGAGACAGTGGAGCTGCCCCCCTGTGGCTCTTTAGCATGGTGCTCCTAATTAAGAGAGGACGCAGCAAACTGTTAGTGTTCAGTGTTTATCTTCCCCCGACGATGAGGCAAGCTGATACTAAGGCTCAATGGGGCATGCTGGGGAATTACATTATTTGTATGGAAATTAAATTTCCAGCACTATACATCCTTATAGGGGGCGGCTTTAATGCCCGATTGGGAGTCCAAGTTCCTCATCAATTGAGGCACTCTACTCCCAAGAAACCCTCCAGGCCATAGGACATCTGATTTCAGCCAGACATTCTAAGGATGAATTAACAAATTTTGCTGGCATTCAGTTAGCCCTTTTAGCAGCCCAACACAATAAGATGGGAGTACCCTAGGTGATCTAGCTGGTGAGTTTACTTTTAGTTCCTCACGTGGGAGTAGTGTTATTGATTTTGTGCTGGTATCCCAGCTTCTTAGAAAGGTAGTCCATGCTTTCTATGTGGATTGCCTTACGGAGAGCGACAACTACCCCCTGGTTACAATCATTGGGCTTTCCTCAAATATACATCTCCCTAGGGGTCCCCAGATATTAGATCCCTATGTGGCCTTGTATACAAGGAGGATCAAATGCTCTTCTAATACTGCAAGAAAGTTCCACTCCTTTTTATCATCTCTGGAGTGTCTCAGCCTATACAATCAGGCCCTAACAAGTAGTGGCCTTGGGACAATCTAGGCCTTTGAATCACTAATTAATAGTGTTCAAAGGGAGCTAAGAGCCGTCCATAGGCCGAGAGGTCCATATCATTCAAGAAGTAATTCTTGGTTTGACAAAGAGTGTCTGATGTTCAGGAACCAGATTAATTGGGATTACCTGCTCTACCATAATCGAGGGGATAAATGCCCACCAGAGGACTACTATCGCTTGAAGCGGGAGTATAAAGGACTAATTGCTAAGAAAAAGAAAGCTAAAGAGACAGAGAAGTGGGATCTACTTCTCCTCTACATTCAGCAGAAGAACACTCAATTATTTTGGCAAATTGTTGCCAGCTCCTTGCCGGGTCATCAAGAATTCCCCTCTGCTGTATTTCTAACAGAGATTGGGAAAACCGTTTCTTGGCAATTTTCCAGGCGTCAACAAGTTTGACCGTGCTTGGGCCACAGCTGCCTCCTGCAGTTCCTGACTGGCAACCCGTGACTCATGGTGAGATTACCGAGCTTATCTTTGAACTCAAGTCAGGAAAAGCCCCTGGCCCTGATGCTATACCCCGATTTGCTAAAATCCAATCCCGAGTGGTGGATTCCTCTCTTAGCAAGACTCTTTACGCATATCAATACCTCTGGCAGGATTCCTACCTCCTGGAGCTTAGCAATTATTGTTCCAGTTTTTAAACGAGGAAATAGGAACAACCCATCCGACTATTGCCCCATAAGCCTGCTCTCCATCATTGGAAAACTGTATGCTAAATATCTCCAACATAGACTCCTCACTTGGGTTGAGGAGTCTAATATTATTGGTGCTGAACAGATTGGGTTTAAAGCGGGTTGTGCCACACTGGACCACTGCTTTGTCTTAGCGCATCTGGTCGATAAATATACTACCATACCAGGTGGCAAACTTTTTACTGCTTTTATCGACCTCAGGTCAGCGTTTGACTCAGTCCCTAGGGGACTGTTGTGGTCAAAACTGCTCAAAAGTTCTATTGATAGATGTCTTCTGTTCCTAATTAGATCCTTGTACAACCAGACCTCTTGTCAGGTCAGGTGTGGTTTGCAGGGAGAACTTTCAAATCCTATCCCGATTAAGAATGGAGTAAGGCAGGGTTGTGTTCTGGCTCCTCTTTTGTTTAATTTATTCTTATCTGACTTGGCCTTTCACATTGGACGTATTGAGTCCCACACCCCAAAGCTGTCAACTACGAATATCCCGCTTCTCCTTTATGCTGACAATGCGGCCCTCCTTTCATTGTCAAGGCCAGGTCTGAAAAGATTACTTTCTGCATTTGGGTCTTACTATGCTGAGAGCCACTTGTCCATTAATTATGACAAATCCAAAGTATTGGTGTTCTCTAGAGCCCGGAAATTGTATAACTGGGCTATCAATGGTAAAGTTGTTAAGCAGGTTTTCCATTTTAAGTATTTAGGTATTCAATTTCAGAACACTGGTGCTTGGACTAGACCTCAAACCCAGGTGCTGAATTCTGCCTCCTGTAGTCACCAGTAGATTTTAAGATTTTTTTTTATACACAAGGAGGCCAGTTTATTCCTTCTGCTCTGTGTATTTACAAAGCCAAAACTTTGGCTCAAACTCTTCATGGAATTCCCATATGGATACGGGGCTTCAAGGATTGTATTGAAAGAACCCAGGCTGTTTTTCTTAGAAAACCTCTGGGTCTTCCTCCTTCTGTTGGTTTTGCTCCGATGTACCTGGAACTGGGCACTCAATCAGTCGAATGTATGGCGTGGATTAACACCTTTAAATGGTGGTTTCAGGTGCTCTTTCTGGCAGTCCCTGGTAGCTACGTCTCCCTGGCATTGGCTGACTCTCATATTTCTCGTTGGGAGAGGGAGCTGATGAAGAAATTACACCTGCTAGGTTTTACATGGGATGCCCTGGGAGATTATGGCCTTAAGGATGCCCAATTTAGGGTAGTCCAACGGCTTGTGGACATTGACTTGCAATATCTATGAGCCAGAGCTAACAAAACTTGCTCCCCTCTGATCAGCCAATTTAATAATTACGGACTGAGGATGGCTTCCTATTTTTATACTCTAACCATTCCCAAGTATAGAAGAGCTATACCCTAGCTCACTTTAATGTCTTGCCCTCAGCACTACAGGATGGGCGATTTAAGTGGCTCCCGATTTAACGAGTGGCTATGCCCCTGTGACAGAGCTGAGGTTGAAACTGTGGAGCATGTCCTTTTATATTGCCCTATGTATAATGCAGGTAGATCTAAATTACTGTCTCACCTTGAAACAGACCCTTCTAGACCCAATGTTAGTAATTTGTTCTTATATTGTCTAGGGGATGGCTCCTCATACATCACTTCTCAGGTTTCCAAAAAAATTTTAAGAGCTGTAACCATCAGAGGAGAACACTGTAATTCCCCTTTGTCAAGTTTTTGGTGACCAATTGTTCATGACTAATTTTCCCATGTTCTTCTTTTGTTGTACTTGTGTTTTGGTCTGTGACCACAAATAAAGTATTGTTATAGCTTGCTGGCTGGGGAATTCTGGGATTTGAAGTCTTTCAGGCTTAAAGTTGCCAAGGTTGGAGACCCCTGCTCTAGTTCACTTTACTTTATTTTTATCTGAATTTATTTTATCTTGTCATACTCTATTTTATCTTATTTTATTTTATTTCATTTTGTCTTATCAAATTCTATTTTATTATATTGTAGTTGACATTCATTATTTCTTGATATAGTCAATTAACCATAAAATTACTTATAATGTAAAATTATAATAAAAACATGGTAGGAATAGTTTCCTAGAAGTTCTTTCTCCTAACCAGAGATGGTATTCAGCAGGTTCTGACCAGTTCTGGAGAACCAGTAGTGGAAATTTTGAGTAGTTCAGAGAAACGGCAAATACCACCTCTGACTGGAGATTTTACAGTATCCTTCCCCCGCCATGCCCACCAAGCCACACCCACAGAACCAGTAGTAAAAACATTTGAATCCCACCATTGCTCCTAACATAGTTCTAGTTAAGTTCATCTATTTCCTTAGAATATTATTCTTACAAAACAGGAGAACAGAAGACTATTTACTTTAACACTAATGTCCTGAACTGCTAACTGGTAAAAGATATTAAAATTCTCAATGTAATTTTTCACAGAAAAACATTTCCAGACATATCTTAAATATATGAATTTAATATGGAAATTCATTATAATTATATCAATTTAATATGAATTTATGAGGTTGCTTCTGGCATACAAGGCTCTGAGGATTTTAATTAACTATTACAATTTGTACAAAATGTTACCAGAATAGTTTTTTTTAATTATTATTCAACGTGTGTATGCATCCATAGATCACTTATTCATTAGCAAAAAAATCCATTAACCATGATAAAAAAGGAAAAAATAAAAAGATGTTAACCTAATAACTTGCCATTATTTAACATAAGCTTTTATTATTGTATCACTGTGCTATAATAATTTTTGTTGGAGAAATAAAAGTAATATCAAAGTGCCATATCTTTCTTTTTCAACAAAAGGTATTAATGCTAAAGGGTTTGTAAAAAAAAAGTTCTCATCATCTCTGCTAAGTCCAATACTTGCTTTTCAGATAAATATTCTGAAATAAGTCAGTTAATTCCCTGTCTATCTACACCTGTGAATTTAATTTATAATGCATATGCTGTGTTGTACTTATACTGACTGACTCACCGGCACCCCAGGCACTCCTCGTGGGCCATCTTTGCCAGTATCTCCAGGAGGGCCTCTTGGTCCTGGGGGTCCAGGGGGTCCAGGAGGTCCAGCTTGCCCTTGATCACCCTGAACACCCATCAATAAGACCAATGTTAATATATTCAAACAATCCAGTGTAACAAAAAAAGAATGTTCAAGAAATCATGCATACAAAGAAAGTCAAAAGTCTATGCGCATAACTAACTGCTCATATTTATCACATACTGGACAACCTGTGACATGCTGCATTATCATTTGAAGGATATTACCTTACCTAAACAGAGAAACAGAGGTATCATCAGTCGATGCAGGAGCAGGGATGACTTTTGATTTCCCGTTGGCTTCTCCATTGACTTTCCTTGTGGGAAGCTGGCAGGGAGCACTGAACCCTTCCTTCCTTCCCTTTTTTCCATCCCTCCCTCCCATATTTTTTTAACAGCAAAGAATTGATTACTTCTCAGAGAAGACAAGGAATTGAATTTAGGCCTGTAATTCCTAAACAATTTATTGGCATTAATTGTGCATTGATGCTGATGGCTATTCTTTTTAGGCATCTTTTTTCTTTTTTTCAGTTATCCTTTTTAAAATTTCTGTTGAATTATGGCTGTCTGTTCTTTGTGGCCTCTGAAGCTTTTTTACAAACTGCATCAGTCAGCTTGATTGGAAAGTGACAAAATGCACACGCATAAAAAGGCAACGTACTCTTAAACCATAAGTAAGCACACTTTTAACATGCAAGTAATAATCCAACAGAGAATATTATTGAAAAAATATTCTCCATTTGTACATGACGCAAACTAGAATGATCTTGTGAAAGTTCTGCATTTGAAGAATACACAGAGATTACCTCAGATTCACTGCTCCTAAATTTCACATATACTTTTCTTCATGGGGAAAAACATGTGTTTGGATGTTGTATTAAATGTTTAGCCATTAGAGTTAGATGGAGGCTTTCATGACAGGTTACAAAATTAGTTCATGAGATTTGGCAAGTGAGCACTGATTGACATCTAAGGGGCCAATGGAATATGACTTCTTGATGAAATCTGTATAACTTTTTTCAAGCTTTAAACCAAACAGTTAAATATTTATTTAATTTCTTATTTAAGCAGCCTTTTCATAAGTACAATTCAGAACAACTTGATGAACATCAGTCTATCCACTTCACAATGCTTCATGTTGAGTAATTAACTGTTAAATTAACAATTACTCTTCCTTCAACAATATTGTTTTATTCAATTACCAATCAAAATTTTAAAAACCCTCAAGACAATTGATAAAATTAATTAGCACTATATAGTGAAACCCCATGAGTTTTATTTAACTGGGATTTTTTTTAAAAGCATCCATTTCATTAATAGTAATATAGTTCAAAAAAAGCTTTATCAATATTTATAGCAATCATCTGCAAGCAAGAGAATAGGAAAAGTTCAGAGACAGATGAAGCACTACCTTAATGAGGCGGCGTTTAATGAGCTGCTGATCAGCAGAAAGAAACCCATGATTGATTTTAGGAAACACCATCTGATCAGGCAGGTGAGGCCAAAGGTTGAAGTGCAGAGATGAAAGAGTTGAAGAACAGACATCAGAAGGCACCAAAGAAGAAATAGAAAGGTATACATTAGACTTGTAACTGCAAATATAACTTCCAACTGGTGCTTCTGTCTTCAGGAGAATCTATGCTTTGTTTTATAATTATTGCAAAGATGCACAAGGTGGGAGGCAGAATCTGCGTGGGGTTGTCCTTTGATGAAATAAGTGGTAACACAAACTTGCTCTGAAAACACCAAATTGGACTTCAATTTTAAATATTTCTTCAGTATCTGGAAGATCAAAATGGAATGCTTTTTTAAATTATTATTTCACGTCATGAGCAAAGATTCCAAGAGACAAAGCACTAGTTCAGACTCAGTCAGACTTTCCAAAGAGCATAGGATGCCAGGAGCAACAGGACCTTTAAATACCGGAGGCGTAATTGCCTTCTGGTCCCTAGGTAGTTAAAATAAGGATTAATTTTTAAAGAATGCAAGGACGTGTCACTGTAACGCCACCAAGACAAAAAAATAAGTGGTATTATTACTAGAGTTTTTATACATTTTTAAAATCTTTGTGATTCCTTTATAAGAACTCTGTTTTGACCATTAAAGTTATTTACTTATAAGTTTGGGTTTTATCTAATGCAGTTCATTGTTGAATCCTCTGCAATGCAACAACATTGAAGATATAAGGATCCATAAGGGATGATCAGGTTCTGAAAGCAAATTCATTATCCAGGACATCTCCATGCTGATATGGAAAGACTGGCTGGCTGATGCGTATTGGCCACAAACCTTGACGGTGAGAATCTGATTACTGTGAAGGCCGGCAACTGTGGGGAAGCCTGGCAGACCCTAGGAACATACACACACAGAGTACCAAAATAACACGACACAAAACGTCACACACAGAATGGCAATTTGACAACAGACACAAAATTAGCTTTATAGCTCAATCTTCAGATTTGTTATAGATGGTGGCATCTTATGTATGTCATTTTTTTTTGGAACAAATATGGACATGGGTTGCCAGGATTAAACAAGTCACCTAGAAATATAAACTATTAAAGGTAACTATTTCAATACCAGCGTCTTATTTATTATCCACAATGGAAACAGGCCACCTTTTTAAAAATAATGTTATTGTGGATTTAGTAAGGTTAAATTATACACACAAGTGAACAACAACTAGGAAATGATGTATCTTTTAAAGTTTAATAGGTTTTTTTGTCACCATGCAACATAAAGTATATAACGTATCAGTGACACAGAAACATAGACACACTGAACGTTAAATTGAATATTTTACTACGCTGGAACTAAAGAGTTAAAGTATATCTTTCACATTAATCAAAATTAAAAATTTTAATATCCTTACAAACTAAGATAAGATTATCAGATGCAAGAGAAGATATGTACATCTGATTTCTTCCAACTTTCCAGTACTGTTTTTGAAGATAGTGGGGAAGAATAAATAGATTTTAAAAAGGGATAAATTTCACACTTATTTGTTGGGTATACTTTTTTAAAATAAACATCCATCCAACTATTCAGGAGAAAAACAAACAAATGTACATACAGTACATTTATAGACAAATCCCATACATATTAGCGTGGAAACAATTCCTAGAAAATGTACGGACTTAACACCTAGATAAATAGTTATAGGAGTTTTAAAAATTGTTAGTCCTTCCAAATACATTGTGGTACTTTCAAATGATTAGGAATTTGTTTTCAGTTTGGATGGCTTCTACTATGCCTTCTATCTATCTGTATATTATGGAATAGAAATTTAAGCAGAACCTTGTAGAATCATAGAACACAACAAATTTTGTAGAACTATTTCAAATATTTGCCAAATGAAGAACTCCACTATTACAGAATCTCTGACAGATGGCAATCCTGCCTCTGTTGAAATACAATTAGCAAAGGAAAATTAACCACTTTCTGAAGCAGACTATAGCAACATTGAACAGCATTTAGTATTAGGATTTTTATTTTCTAATATCCAAATAAAATCTGTTTCCTTAAAAAATAAACCCATTCTTATTTTTCTGTGTTCTAGAACAATTATGAAAAGTTCTGCTTTATGTTCTACATGGAAGTCCTTCAGATCCTTGATACCAACAATCAGGTCTTCCTACAACCTTCTCTTTTCCAGACTAGACATACCGAATATGTCTGAATATTTCTCACAGATTTTTTCTTCCAAGTCTTTTATCATTTTGATTGGTCCCTGCTGAACACATTCCAGTTTTTTGGTGTTTGTCCTAAAATGCAGTGTTCACAGCTTAATTCAGTATTTAAGTACAATTTTATTAATGTAAAATAGAAAGGAACTATGACAGTTTCTTTATGTCAGTATAATATTTCTATTAATGCAGCCTAGGATTGCATTTGCTTACCACTGATCTATACTCACATTTACTTATCCAGCTCTGCATTTATCTTTTAGCCATCTTTTGGTCTTTTCTCTAAGAATCTCATAGTTTTATGAAATGAATTGCAGAGGCCATTCTATCCTTGCACTCAGTTAAATTGGGCACTTTATCCCCCCACCCATGGCATGAACAGAGGGGAACATCTTTGATTAAAGTTTTCAGTAACTAGGCAGTTCTTTGATTAATATTTCTAGTAGATTAAGATGTCTTTTAAGTAACAAAGCAAGTTCTCCATGAGGAATGTAGAATCTGATAACAACTGGCCAAGCCTGCCAAGGACACTAACTTGAAGTTTAGTAAATTGCAAACTCATTATGTGAGAAACACATGCCCTAGATTAATATTAATGATCATACTAAGTAAATACAAAATGTTACATGCTACATGCTAGAATAAGTTACATTCTTCAGTCCTATCATTCTATTCATGTGTTTTCTGAATATCCCAACTTTATCAAGCAGATAGTAAACTTCACTTTCATGTTTATGAATTGCCAGGAATCTCTAGTTAATTTTTATTGGAAACAGAATAATGGACTACATGGCCAATCTATAACTCACTCTTTCAGTCAAAGAAGACTCTCACAACTGATCTAACATATATATGCTGAGCTGCTAGATTTCAACTGCATGGGAAAATAACTTATAAACACCATCTCTATTTAAGTAATATAATAAATAGACTTGAATATCTTGCTGATAAACAACTAAAGAGTATTGAATGCTTGGCTATAAAAATTGAATGCTTTGTTTTAAATGTTAAGTCAACAATTGTTTCTCCTTTACATTTCCTGATAGTTGAGAAATCCACATGAGAAGACTTAAAGATGTACATTTTCTTTCTATTTTTCTTTTGTAATACAGCTACTTTGCTTGTCCTTCCTCTGCTCCACTTCCTCCTGGTCTATTGAGCAACTGAAGCTAATACAGAAGACTGTCAGTTCTGTTGCCACTTTCCTATATTATTGTGAACAATTGCAGCTGCAGAATGAAACTCTTGGCAGTGAAGACTGATCATTGGACTTTCACGGATAGGAAAGGTTGTTTACATTACTAGTGAGGGCAAAACATTCAGGTTTGGGAGTAATTTTTTTTTTATTCCCTAGCTTATGCTGTGAGCTGCCATGGAGAGCACTGAAAGTGAAGCCAATTTTTGCCTGAAATCCAGCCTGGAGATTGAAGGTTGGAGAAGATGCATGTCTATAGATGCTGCAGTTCTAGTGTCTGATCCTGATCCAATTCCATACCCTTTAAGCTCTAGAGAAAGCTATTATCTCCATACTGAGGATCAAAGAGTTTAATCTTGTAGCAATACCAGGATCTATGGCCAAGCTTTCTGGAAGTAATTTGTGCACTGTAGCTCAAGATGTAGAGACATTAATGAGTCTGGAAGAGGCCTTACAAGGCTGCCTCAGAAACTAAATAATTACTGGAGACAACTTTGGTAATATTTCTTCTTACATTCTGTGGCTGGAACCAATAATTTTGCTTTGCTTACTTGAGTCTTGATTCTCACCTATATCTTCATCATGCTTTTTTATTTGATACAGGGTTCTATTTCTTATTCTTGGCCTAAAGATTAAGTATAGATCACTATACTGCCTAGTGAGTTTGTGGGAAGTGAGTTTGTAGAAAATATTTATGATTCCATTTTTTTCTATTTTGTGATTGAGCATTGGCATCAGGAAATGAACTTCCTAGTTCCATCCATCCACCAAAGCACCAAGTGAAGAAAGCATCTATCCCCATAATCTAGTTATAATACATACAATCACTGTTCAATTCAATATCCAACTTCAATATCATTGCTGATTAAAGCTCAGAGACATGTTATTTTTATTCGCTTGTTTGTATATTGCCTACTTAAATGACCCTAGTACATAGCTGCTTGTGCAAATATTGCAGAATCTTGTTGCTTCCCTATAGCAATGAAGTTTTTGTTTATCCTTGATTTAGCTATACAAACATACATAATTCTGCAAAGATTCATGAAACAAAACTAGAATTGCCACCTGCTGTCCATTTGCACTTCATATATTCACAGCCAGCTGCTACTATTTCACATCAAATCATTCTAACTGTTAACTAAATGATCCTGACAGTTTATATGTTGGCCTCCCCATCCTATACTTCAAGCTCCAATTAATCTCTCAGATTGGGCTTATTATTCTACCTGATTCAAGATTGTTTTGCATCATTCTTTATACAGCCTCAAACATTCACAACAAGAACTTCTTTCCTTCAAATATTTTTATTGCAATTTCTGCTTCCTCAATCAGCAGCTAAATTTAAACAATGACACAACTCAGAAGCTGACAAAACAAAAGGGTATTCTTGATAACATTTTCATTCATTCAAATCATAGTTTTGATTTTAATAGAGAAACTTTGCAAGCATATGAGTTTGTTAATAAATATTGAGTAGTAATATTCCCTGTAAAAGCTTTCCAGATACATTTCTCTCTCAAATTTATCCTTAAACACATTTGCATCCATTGCCCCTGATAATCTCTATGTCACAAACACACATTTATCATCTGATCATTATTAATTTTGGACCAGTATTAAATTGAAGCAGACATGGCATTTAGGTCTTCTAAGATATGTTTATAAACAATGCTTTCTGAATGCTTCTAACAGGTTTTTTTTATATTTTCCATTATTGCATATAGCACATTTTAATAATTATATTACTATTATAATTTTTGTACTTTGCATCATCTACTAACTGATTTACCAAAGAATTAAAAAAGTAACCTATTTTGGAATAAGGTGCATCCAAACATTCACATTTTTGTGAATTCACATACATTAGTGGTTATGTCCTGATGTTTTGCCATTCAGATGTTTTTTTCTCTTGTTTCATTTCTCTTGTTTCATTCATATAGTTAATATGTTACAATTTTTGTTTTAAAATAGTGCATTTATGTACAATTATTCCTAACAGGCTTGCTTTTATTCAACTACTCTGCCTGCAGAAACGTTTATATTACTGAAGAAAATAATTTTAATTCAGAGTGAAGGCAGTACCATTTAGTAAATAATGCCCTACACTTCATTTTTCCTCAGTTATGACAATATGATTATATTATTAAAATATATTTGCAATCTGCTTATACATTGTTATAGAAAATAATCTTTCAAATTTTCAGTGCAACAGTCATGCTATAGATTAGTGACAGATGTGAATCTTATGTCAGCTATCTAAATGAAAAGGGACTGAAAATTTTAATAGTGAACTTCTGTCGCAAGTTCTCTGAATTCTGGGGTTTGTTCAGTTTTTGTTTAAATTTCTTCTAAGCATTTCCTGAATATCAGAGGATGCCTCTACTGCAATATTGAGGGATAACTTAACCTGATATTTTAAGTAGTTTCCACTGGAACTAGATCTGAAATAGCCAGCTGACTCTATGATC